GACTATTACACAATTGGACAAACACAAATAAACAGCCATACCCCTGGTGGGATTCGAACCCACGACCTCCGGCTTGTAGTCAGCAGCACTAACCACCAGTCCACCGTCGGCGACGCACAGTGCGGACTACTGTGGACAAAAATCGAAAAAGGGAGTGTGAATTTGTAATGTTCTAATATTGAAAAAGTATAGATAAAAGTCCGGTTTATCCATAATCATAAACTATTTTTTAGTCGCACTTTCAAAAATGGACAAAATAATTAGTTTAAGTCGTAATGTTAAAACTTTACGATAAAATCGTATAAAATACCTATTAGAAAATTAATTTTACTGGATCTGCATTTTATTATTTATAAAACATTTTATAAAACATTTTTTCTGCAAGTATTGGAGTGGTATAGACTTGCACTATTTGTTTGAATAAAATTTTGTAAAATTCAAATACAGCTTTTTAAATAATTTAATTAAAACTGATATGCTTACAAAAATAAATTATTATCACTTTCCCTAAGGTTTAAAAAAATTGCATAACTTTGCACAGACTGGCAATAACCCTAAATATTAGTCCAATCATTTAGCAAAAAGGTGGCATAAATATTTTTTGCTACTAGCTGCTACTAAGGGTGCTGTAATTTTTTTAAATGAATATTTTTCAGTCACAATACTAAAATATATAAAAATATAAAAATATATTGGTGTTATGTAATAATATACAGTATGTCTCAGTATCTTGGAATCATATGGAAAACTTTTTTATTATTAATTTTAGGAAAAAAAGTTATTCTTCATAAAAAGTTCTGCATGGTGTAAAACTTAAAATGCAACCCACAAATATTAATTATTTTTAGTCGTATACGAGGTATGTCAAAAAATATGAATTTGGCGCAAGAGTAAAGTACCTTTATATTTGACAATATCAAAAATTCTTATAAAGAAAAGTTAATCAGAACTAAAAACTACGTTTAAATAGGCAATTTCATACATTTACATTAAAAAAAATATTTTTTCTTTTTTGTCTACAATATCAATGCAAATTTAACTGTAACATGTAATCTAGGATTCACTGATAAACAAATGATTTGTTGATATTCTAAAACTTTTTTCCCTGCTAGATCCCCTGACTTAACTTAAGGTTTTCATGTTTTTTCTAATCATAACAGATAAATGTTCATTTAAAATAGAAAGATTAGTAAAAATGAACAAAACCTAATTTTTTAATGTAAATGTATGAAATTGCATATTTCAACGTAGTTTTTAGTTCTGATTAACTTTTCTTTATAACAATTTTTGATAATGTCAAATATAAAGGTACTTTACTCTTGCGCCAAATTCATATTTTTTGACATACCTCGTATACGACTAAAAAAAAATAATATTTGTGGGTTGCATTTTAAGTTTTACACCATGCAGAACTTTTTATGAAGAATAACTTTTTTTCCTAAAATTAATAATAAAAAAGTTTTCCATATGATTCCAAGATACTGAGACATACTGTATATGAAATAAAAATATTTGTCCAAACATATTTATGGTATCCACACTCCACAACAAAAAACCAAAACAACCTTTTTTTCGGTCGATAGGAATGCACAAACAAAATTAAATTAAGGTACCTATTCAATTACTGCAATAAAAATCCTATCAGTCTTAAAATATACATATTTACCGAAAATCATTTGAATGTTTATGGCAAGCGAATATTTTTGTGCAATGCAAAATAGTGGCGAAAGTATGTACATTACTATTTTTTTATTATAAAAAAAATTATTTTAAAAAAACGTCTGATTTTCATATTTTGGGGTTTAAAATGGTATATTGTTCAACAAGTCAAGCAAATAAATTATTATCACTTTCCCTAAGGTTTAAAAAAATTGCATAACTTTGCACAGACTGGCAATAACCCTAAATATTAGTCCAATCATTTAGCAAAAAGGTGGCATAAATATTTTTTGCTACTAGCTGCTACTAAGGGTGCTGTAATTTTTTTAAATGAATATTTTTCAGTCACAATACTAAAATATATAAAAATATAAAAATATATTGGTGTTATGTAATAATATACAGTATGTCTCAGTATCTTGGAATCATATGGAAAACTTTTTTATTATTAATTTTAGGAAAAAAAGTTATTCTTCATAAAAAGTTCTGCATGGTGTAAAACTTAAAATGCAACCCACAAATATTAATTATTTTTAGTCGTATACGAGGTATGTCAAAAAATATGAATTTGGCGCAAGAGTAAAGTACCTTTATATTTGACAATATCAAAAATTCTTATAAAGAAAAGTTAATCAGAACTAAAAACTACGTTTAAATATGCAATTTCATACATTTACATTAAAAAAAATATTTTTTCTTTTTTGTCTACAATATCAATGCAAATTTAACTGTAACATGTAATCTAGGATTCACTGATAAACAAATGATTTGTTGATATTCTAAAACTTTTTTCCCTGCTAGATCCCCTGACTTAACTTAAGGTTTTCATGTTTTTTCTAATCATAACAGATAAATGTTCATTTAAAATAGAAAGATTAGTAAAAATGAACAAAACCTAATTTTTTAATGTAAATGTATGAAATTGCATATTTCAACGTAGTTTTTAGTTCTGATTAACTTTTCTTTATAACAATTTTTGATAATGTCAAATATAAAGGTACTTTACTCTTGCGCCAAATTCATATTTTTTGACATACCTCGTATACGACTAAAAAAAAATAATATTTGTGGGTTGCATTTTAAGTTTTACACCATGCAGAACTTTTTATGAAGAATAACTTTTTTTCCTAAAATTAATAATAAAAAAGTTTTCCATATGATTCCAAGATACTGAGACATACTGTATATGAAATAAAAATATTTGTCCAAACATATTTATGGTATCCACACTCCACAACAAAAAACCAAAACAACCTTTTTTTCGGTCGATAGGAATGCACAAACAAAATTAAATTAAGGTACCTATTCAATTACTGCAATAAAAATCCTATCAGTCTTAAAATATACATATTTACCGAAAATCATTTGAATGTTTATGGCAAGCGAATATTTTTGTGCAATGCAAAATAGTGGCGAAAGTATGTACATTACTATTTTTTTATTATAAAAAAAATTATTTTAAAAAAACGTCTGATTTTCATATTTTGGGGTTTAAAATGGTATATTGTTCAACAAGTCAAGCAAATAGTCGATTTGTTTGGCACGCGAGCGTAGCAAGCAAGATTATAGCACACAAAAAAAACAAGTCAAAAAAATACAAATATAGGTAGATTTAATAAACATTCTTTTGCTTTCGTCTGATTTCTTAATTTCTATGAACAGAAAAGACCGCCTCATAGTTTTGAGGGGATAGAAAAATATCTTATATAAAGAACAAATTAATTTATCATCTGACGAAAGCAGGGAATAAAAAAATTGTTTAATTTCTGATTAGTATTTTTATTTTTAATTTTTTTTTACACCTTGCATATCGCACAAGATTTTCATGTTGTAAAATACTTTCTATTTCAAAAATTTTGTTTTTATTATTATAGTGAAATAAGTTGAACAAAAAAAAACATAAGAAAACAATTAAGTTTAACCACAAAAGTAAATTGATTTTTATTTGAAAGAAAACTGTTTTTTATTTTTATTAATTTACCTTTTGAATATTTTTAATAAAATGACATTAAAGACATTAAAGTTGTACTTATTGTTAAGCTTTACACTACAATTTACCACATACACCATGAAAAAAGCATATTTTTTGAAAAACAATTAAATTATTGATTTTTGTCCAAAAACCCTATTTTTGTCCGCTCTGTGCGACGGTTCATATACAAGGTGTCTCTAAACTTATTGGCATAAATTTAGGAGCAGATTAAGCAAGTCAAAATAAGACGAAAATCTAAATAAATATTTTTCCTAATTACATATGTTTAAAAGATTTACCTAATATACCTTCTACTATGGTAGTCTTGGAAATTATTGTAATCTCAAATATCTCGGAAACGGTTTATTTTATCGTTTAAGTTTGAGAGGTACACCTTTTTAATAGTAGCCGAACTTGGTAATCGAAAAATTGCATCAAATGGTATAAAAACCTAACCTAAAAGTTTCTATGGGACAATAAGCTTAAGCAACCCCTGTTTCTACGACACGGTGTTCACTTGAATAATTGTAATTATGTGTGAATATGTGTTTTGGTAGTAAGTGACTGTTTGCAAAATATCACCTTTCCAAGTCTACCATAGTAGAAGTTATATCGGCCATGGGCTTGGAATGGCCGATATTAAAAAAACTGATATGATAAGTAACACTTTATCACCCTGTATCTTTTAAACATATGTAATTAGGAAAAATATTTATTTAGATTTTCGTCTTATTTTGACTTGCTTAATCTGCTCCTAAATTTATGCCACTAAGTTTAGGGACACCTTGTATATCAAGATACGTTAATATAAAAAAATAGTATAAAAAATTAGGTATTTAACTGAAACAAAATGTTAAAAATAAAATCGGCAAATGGGACCAAGTTGGCTTCTAAAGTTGATACTGTAAAATTTTGGATGATACCGCTTAAGCGTTATCCATATATGCAATAATTATTGAAAAGGAACCAAGCGCGAAACATTTTTTTTCTGCTTATTTAAATTATTTGTAAAATAACTTATTTTTAATAATGCTCAAAAGGTTCATCTTCATTTGGAACTTTTCTCAAAAGGATTGAATGGGTCCCCAATTCATTATTAATTTTTTGAGCAGCATTAAAAATGAGTTATTTTGCAAATAATTTTGTTTACCCCAGAAAAAGTTTTTGGCCCTTGGTTCCTTTTTAATAAACTCTATCCATATATTCTATTTAAAACTTGAATAGTAATAGTAAATTAAACTATTTGACTTTAGATATAGTTGTTATTTTCTTAAATAACACATCTAATTTTTTGTCAAGGTGTGGGGTAAGGTTTCGTGGAAATACCCTATTGTTACTGTTGCAGATGTAATGTTACCTACTAACCTACCTGTGATATTCCTAGAGAAGACATGTTTGCCTGGTTAAAAAATACTCTACCAAAATGGTTTTTGTCGGGAAATACATCCGACTGATGTGGAAGATTTGCACCACCACTGTCCACTAAATAAATACATGGTAGATGATTTTCCCAAGCTATTTCCTGTGCTCGAACATGTTTTTTAACAGTAATGGGATAATATGTACCACCCTTTACTGTTGCATCATTTGCCACTATCATACAGTCTGTGCTAAAAAACAAATTACAAATGTATTGATTAAAACTTTATTGTGGTACACAAATACCCATTTACTTTTCCTATACCAGTAACTATTCCAGCTGAATTTATTTGATTATCATACATATCATTTGCTGCTAGAGCAGATAATTCTAAAAATGCAGTATTTGAATCCAAAAGTAAGTTAATTCTGTCTTGAACCAATAATTTGCCTTTTACTGTATGCCTTTGAACAGCTTTTTCACCTCCACCTAGTAGAGCAATGGAAGTTTTTTCTTTTAGAGATCGAACTAAATTTTCCATGTGCTCCAAGTTTTTCTACAAAAAAATATAAAATAAATAATTCTTAATAATAAAATTTCCTTTTTACCATGTAATTTGGCGACTGTGGATCAATTTTACTCTTGATAACACTACTGGATTGTTGTAAATTTCTTTGAATAACACATGTTAAATTTTTATATTTAAGAAGCATTTTGTCTTTACTCTTTTCTTGTTATGTTTTAAAGTTATTATGAGAGATAAGGAAGGTTCTTATAAAAGTGTCTTATCACTATTCATACTAAACCACACTAAACTTTGGCCTTTTCAGAGCAGTTGTCAAGGTTATAAATAATAACTTATAATAAATTAAATATTTTCAGATAAAGTGGGTAGTAATAGTTATTTACGTGTCAAGCTTTGTAAATGAATCTTTACGGGCGAGCTGAAAGTTTACAAATACAGTGAGCCTAGTAAAGATTAATTGCAAAGCGTGACACGTACAAACTTTTATTTTCACCTTTAGATAAAGAATTTCAAATTTAAAATTTTAATTAATATGTCAAATGTGACATTTCATTTCATAAATTGCTTTTCTACAAGCCTGTAAAACTTTACAGGTCTTTTATACAAGCCCGTAAAATATTACAGGGTACAAAAACAACAAAATTACCTATAAAATGTCATTTACTAAGAAGGTGGAAATAAATTTATTTTTAAAGGTTACTTACATTTTATTTTTTGTACATTACAAATCCTAATTCCATAATGTAATCAGACTTTGAAAATGTATACAATTTTAAATTTAATGTGCGCGGGCTACGCAAAATAAAAAGAATTTAATTGCAACGTTGCCAGATTTTTTTTTTCGATGTTTAAGAATTTCTATACAAGGGATCTCCTTCCTCCTGTAAAAGATAAACTAAAATCGTAGTTACGTTTATATATTACCGTACGGGAATTTATAAACAGCACAATGGTTTTTTTATTGTTCATTTTTTACGGGAGGAAGGGAGGAGGAAGGAAGGCAATCTATAATTTAGGCTTTACGCTACATGGGGAAATTGACATAATAGCAGAGACAACACTGATTATACCTTTTTCTACTCCTATTACGAAATTTGACCCTTCTAATATCACTTTTATCTATGGAATAGAATAGATATTTCTGTAAAGTGTTACAGAATGAAATATTTTATCATCTGATGACAGAATAAACACTCGTGGCGACATCTTTGTTTTTAATATCTAACAAATTTTAGACCGATCCAACCTCACTTTCTTCCAATTAAATTATTTTTCTATGGTATTTTTTGGAAACGTAGAAAAAGTATAGTCTGAAACACGTTTGGAATTGCATATAATGCGAGGGGTAAACCACTGATTTTTTAAAGTTAAAAATCGCTTACGAATTAACGGCTAAGGATAACAATAACAAAGGTAGTCATGTACAACGCGTCGCTAAGCACTGATTAAGCACCGATTAAGCACCGATTAAGCAAGTTTTCCTTATTGATAACGACTGATAAGGAAAAAAATCTCAACACAACGTCCGCTAACATTAAACGTTGGTCTCTAAGATTTTAATGTGGTTTACCCCTCGATATAATGCTCTCGTGAAACCGTCAAAATCGCCTTCGGCTCGTGTGACAAACTCTTCACTCGAGCGGAATATGCTGTATTCCAAACTTGTTACAGAATATACCAGGGGCGGCTAGTGCATAAGGGCTGCAGAGCTGCAGAACTCCCAAAATTGTCTTATTACTTGACTAATTTTTAAATTATTTAATATTTAAGTGCGACAGTGTATAAATATTTCAAACGCATGGCTGCATATAAAGTTTTTATTATAAACATTCGCCGTGTCGCCGCACTTGGCCACTACAGTCATCCAAACGACCGGTAAAGGTCTCTAACGCTTAACGCTTACAATACAATAAAGCTGGGCCACTTTCGAGTTCTGGCTCCCATTTCAATACCGTAATTTTGCTCCGCGCCGCTCTTGGTCCTGGGTTAAGATTGCGAAATTTAAGCCAAACCGGAGCTGCACCAACATACAGTTCCTATAGTATACTTCCCGGTCGTTTGATTTTCGCTTCGCATTCACGTTTGTTATTTTAAATAGAAGACTGTTAATTCTTTGTATTTTTGTGTTTTGTCTTTGTTGTTGTATTCTTTTGTAAGAATGAATGTGGTGTATGATTTAATTAATGTTATAAATTCTCCCTCTATACGTAGGTATGAAGAAAAATTAAAACTAAAAGAAGATGGACGGCCGTTGCCCGATATTTCAATAGAAAATTGTGGTTCAAGCCGGGGAAATCGTATAAAAGGATTTTTACAAGAGACATTTATGCCAGAAACGACTGGATATGCGGATGCAATAAAAATAATTCTCTTTTTTGTTTTCCGTGCCTTTTGTTTGGTGGAGAAAAAAACATAGTTGGTGTAACCGACTTAGTGCACCTAAGCGGTAAAATTAAACGTCATGAAACATCGAAAACCCACTTAAACAATGTTATGAACCTGGGTTTAATTAAATGCCAACTGCGCCACATTTTTTTAAACCCCACTGCCAGAACTCACAAATTTTACTGCCACGAGCCGCCACTGGAATATACTATTTTTTACTATTACAGAATATGACCGTTCTAACATCACTTTTTAATGGGAAATTACATATATTTCTTAACAGACTAATTATAATTCTAATAATATATATAACACCCCAGACCGCAAAATCACATTCCCTGCACATGTCAGGAATATTCCCAGGAATATTCCAATCGTCCCAGAATATTCCCAGGCATAATCAAATGTCCGCTTTTTGGTTAACCCAGGCATCATAAAAAGAATATTCCATATATCTGCCTGCAGAAGACTCAAGGATTGTTAGGGGAATATTCCTTGATATAATTTCCCAGTAAGCACAAATACGTCCTTAGGCTGTCCTCGGGACGTCAGCTTAAGCTGACGTCCCGAGGACGTCCCAATTGGGACATTGCGGAAGTACTCAGGACGTCCCGCAATGTCCGTTTGACGTCCCTAGGAGGTCTACAGACGGCCAAATGATACACTTTCAGATGTCCGTAGGACGTCCTGATTAGGACTATATCGGGATATACTCAGACCAGCTTATTAAGGTACTGTGAGGGCTTTTTGAGACTTTTCTTTGGAAATCCGCATGTTGTCATGATAACTATACAGGGTGTTCGGAAACGGTTGGGTCAAATTTTAAGGGTTGGCAGTCATTCACAAATATTTTGATATAAGGAACATGTGTCTGGAAACGCCCATTTTCCGAACTACAGACTTTAAACTCATGAGCAAAATTCATATTTTTCGACTAACCTTGTATACGGCTTAAAAAAATTGATATCTGATGGTTGCATTTTAAGTTTTGGACTATGCAGAACTTTATATCAAGAATAACTTTTTTTCATAAAACCAATACTTATAATAAAAAAGTTTTCCATATGGTTCCGACTTAATTGGACACACTGTATACAGGGTGTTTCAGAATAAGATGCTGAACCTTAAGGGTGTGAATTCTTAGTTGATTTTAAGAAAAAAAGTTCAAATAAACCTATGACCTAAAACTTGTATAACTTCCTAGATATTTTTATAAAATTTGGCACACGCCTTCTAAGCATTAACAGTAAGTGTTTGATGTAGAAGATTTTTAATTTTTTGTACCAGTGGCGCCCGTACAGAATGTGGTCTAGATATTTTTGGAAAAATATTATGCACGCCACTGCTATTTTTCAAAATAAAAATTATTTTTTAAATTCCCATTAATTTTAGGGCAAATTTGATTTCTTGACCATTTTTCGTACGACTAACAGTTTTCGATGAAAAAAATAAAAAGCATTTAATGCGCATATTGAGATGATGATTAAAATTTAATAACATTAAAATTAAAGGTGACAGATCTGCATCATTAGACAGGTGACAGATGATGCAAATGCTATACATTTTTGGCCTTTTGGAAAGACGGCATGAAGATATTCAATATATATATATATATATATATGGTATACTATTGCCAATTTAATTCTATGACGTCCTAGGGACGTTCAAGGTACGTCAGAAATGGGATACCCAATATACTATACCCAATTTAATTTCAGGACGTCCCATGGACGTCCAAGGTACGTCAGAAATGGGATATCCTAAACTGGCCCGGACAGACCCAATCAGGATGTCCTTGGGAGGTCGTGAGCTATTTGGGTTGGGGATTATTCCCAGCCCTTATTGCCTCTTATACCCAGGAACTTAACTTAAGTATAGCCATTATTGAGTTACTGAGTAGATCAGTCCCAGTCTAATCATTGTTTGGCTTTGCCATCACAGACGCACATCTCCAACTAATATTATTAACCTATCGGTATATATAGTTATCAAGCGTGCCTAAGCAACGGTGAGAGGTATTGCAACTAAACTAATGAATATTCACTGGGAATATTCTTAGATGATGCTTGGCAGTTTTAGAGGATCATTCTAGGAATATTCCCAATGAATATTCCTAGAATGAAGCGGATTATTCCTAGGCGATAGGGAATATTCCTGGAATATTTTCGAACCTTCATTGCAGTCTGGGACAATCCACATGATTGTGATATATAATTTTAATTATAATATAGTCGCCGCTGCGAATGCTTTCCGTTGCGTCATAAATTTGTGAACCAAGCACAGACATTACAATTAGACGTATGTGAACGTATGATTTATTATCTATGATGTGGACAAACCGGTATTTGACATTTAAAATTGACGTAACGGAAAACATTCGCTGCGGCGACTATACACAAGAATACTTTAAACCAAATAGGGTCATGATAATAATAAATAAAAAATAATAAATTATTTTATTATTAATATTAATAATAGGCTTGTTCCCACCGAACATTTTAAATGTCAGAGACATGCGAAATTTTAAAATTGCGTCCCTTTTTTAGTACGGCCCATGGAGCCTACACAGTGTGTAGGATCCATGGCTCCATGCGATTTTGGAAATCTGACATTCCAAAATTAGAACTCCAAAATGTTCGGTAGGAACAAACCTATTAGGTTCGTTTGATCAAGCAGTTAGTTCTAGCCTAGAACTTAAAGAACTGCTAGAATTAAGTTAACTTCTAGGACCATTCGCATGCACGAAGACTTCGTGATATACCCAAGGATATAAGAAGAATAATAAAATATAATATACTCTAATATGCCCAGACATTAGTACTATAGATTAGTATATTCTGTAACAAGTTTGGAATACTACATATTCCGCTCGAGTGAAAAGATTGTCACACGAGCCGAAGGCGGTTTCACATTAAAAAGTGATACCTATTAGAACGGTCATATTCTGTAATATGAGTAAAATAGTTATTTATGTATCAAGGCAGTAAAGTCGTATTTTTTATAACGAATGTGGAAATTATTTGCCGAGGCGAAATCCGAGGCAAATATATTATAACCACGTGAGTGATAAAAAATGACTTTAATGTCGAGGTGCATATTAAATTTTATCCGAAATCACATTTAGGTAATTAATATTGATGATTAGATCAAAATTTGATTTAAATTTAATGTCATTTGATGATCAAATCAAATGTTATTTGAATGTAGGAAGTGTCTACGTATACTGTTTGTTGCGACGGTTATTATACATTTGGCGATTTTTTAATCTAAATCACCCTGATCTAAATAATAATTTATGTTGTTTAATAAAAATAATAAGTTAATTTAAATTAACTTATTATTTTTATTAAACAACATATTATAAAAGGGTCCAATCGACCTCCGCGACGGTGCTTTTTTTAAATATTATTTAGTTGCTGCCCTAGACCAAACCAAATAGACGAAAATCTCAATAGGGGGGCTTCATTGCATCAAAATTATACCGTCAGATGTTCGTCGACGATCTATTTGGTTTGGTCTAGGGTTGCTGCTGAGGAGCAGTAGACACATCTTAAAATGTATAATGGGTTGCATACAATACTCGTATTAAATCGGCAGTAAAGTTCTACTTTACTGCTGCTGATTTCTTTCACTTTACTGCTGATTGTTGACTACTTTACTGCCGATTTCGGATAATAGTTATTTATGTCATTAGGTTAAGAAGTAAGGCTTTTTGTGCTAAGCTCAAAGTTTGAAGGCCGACGCGTAGCGGAGGCCTACAATTGAGCGAAGCACAAAAATACACTTCTTGGCCGAATGGCATACAACATTTTATCTTCAAAGCACTTTATATAGGTCAATTTAATTCAACATGAAAGCGGCCTAACCTAACTTTTTTAGAATTTATTTATTACCTAAAGATTACATTAAATGTACAATAATTATTATTCCTTTTAGAAGCAGTAATAGTTTGACAATACCTAGCTACATAATTTAAGTAGAAATGGATTTTTGTAAGAAAATGGTTTACTTACCCTCTTGCTATTACATTGAATTCAATTAATTGTTTAATAAATAGGTATCTAATTTCAATTTGTTTGCATTTTTATTAAAAAATAGGTAGTTTAGAATGTTTACGCTGTGTTTAACATTTAATTTCACTGAAAACTTAAAGCAAATTAAAACTTAAAGATAATTTAAATCGTAGAAAAAGAAAACACAACTGTGAAATACACAGAAACGTCAAATTGCAATGTCCTAACCTCACTTTTTGTTTTATTATTCATATTTAATTTTACAATAATTTAATGAAAAATAATAAACATTAACAGTAAAACAAACAAATTAGTGCTTATTATAAATAAATTAAACCAGTTTAGTACGTTAATTTCTTAGAAAAGGATTAATTTGTCAAAACAATACCCCTAGCGAGAAAAAATCGAACTAATTACTTGCCTCATAAAAATTTTTATCGGCCTAGGCCATAACAAGTTATTTCTTTATCGAATGTTGACATAATAAAGTTTAAATTATAGACCGCGTGGAGATAAAAAATATTATCTTTGGATATACCCTCTGAATATAGCCAATTCCATTAAGGTTGTCATGAAACAAACGAATTTTGACGTTTTGTTTTGTAAATAAATTATTAAACTTCAAAATGTCTCTTCAAAGAGAAAATTTTATATTACAGAATTTGTTGCAGACCAAGATAATCTTACATAAAACCCCGACAAAAACTTTAAACTTGCCGACTGCTCGTTTCATGTCGAAATATGGAACACCAAGGAGCGTACAGAATTTGTTGCAGACCAAAAAAATCTTTCATAAAACCCCGATAAAAATTTTAAACTTACCGACTGCTCGCTTTATGTCGGAATATGGAACACCGGGAAGCGTACGTTTAAAAAAATTAAATTGTTCATCTTATATTTTTTTTTAATTTTTAGACTTTACCCTTTTGTAAATCATTGGGAAGACCTGGTAAAATTACTTTGATTTTCGTTTTATTTTTTGGATCAGCCTGGTGGGCCGGTCCCCTTGCGTTTGTGTACATGATGTTAAAATAAAAATGTAAGTATTTGAAAATCCCGCGCTATAGTAAAATGTTGGGGTTCTTGTCCTTTATGATCTGTGCCACAGATTCGGTGATTCTGGTATAGCTAACTTCACTTACTAAAGCGTCCATTATTTTTGGTATTGATAAATTTTCGTTAAGTAAAAAATAAATCAACAAAATGATTGGAAGATCAAATCTTTTGGTTAGAAATGCCATCAGCCAATTCGTTAGAAACCATGGCCATCATGGATACCCAGGCGAGGTAAAAAAATTAGTTACAATTTTGTTACATAAGCATAAAATTGAAATTAGTTAAAGTTTTGTTAATTGCTATTAGAATAAACAATGCTTACAGTTTTATAAAAATTATTAAAATTTTCAAAAAATTGTCAGTAAGTGAGCTAGATATTAAATTTTGCAGCAATATCAAATTGAGTGTGTTAATAATAACCAATTCTTTCTCTTTCAGAACTTGCCCTTTTCAATTAACAACAGAGTTAAGTTGACAGCATTATTTATTGCATTCTTCGGTTCAGGATTTGGAGCTCCTTTCCTTATTTTAAGGCATCAACTCGTCAAGGCCTAAGTAGTTTTGTAAGTTTAAAAAATAATGTTATTTGGTTTCATTCTAATTTTGGTTATTTATTTCAGATTCATTAGTCATTATAGGAAAATTTAAGTATATATACTTTAATATATTGATGTCTTAACTATGTAAATTGTACATTAAATAAAAAATAATAAAAAATTGTACTATTTTTTCTATATTTTAACACTGGTAACTAGGTACATTCTTAAAAGTTTTAATATTTTACTTCAAAATCGTTTAAGAATAAGGAATATAAATTATATATTATTTTTAACCTATAAGTATATTATAGCATCTCTAATAATTCTCAGATTTAAAAATCTTGGCAAGTGTGGTATTTAAGGTTATTATACAGGGTGTCCCAGAACTCACGCCACAGAGAAAAAGGGGGCGTGCCGACAGAAATGGAGATGCCAAATTTAAAAATAAAAAATTTCTAGGTAATAGTGTAAGCGAATTAAAGCAAAAAAGTGGCAGCCAATACCGAGAGCTCTTGCCTAGATTAAACGTAGGGGATTTAAAAATTGCTAGGAGACGATAGAACATTGTTGTCTTAAAACTTTTAAAAATCTTTTGGCCGGCTGTATTTACTAAGTTGTCAAAAGCTGTCAAAAATGACTGATACCTCAGAACGACAATGTTTTAAAGTAAAAAATCAAACAAGTTGTAATTTTTTAGGCTTTTTTAGTTAAAATTTTAGAAAAAGTCATAAGTTACAGAAACAAATAAACAAACTTTTAAAAAATTACAAAAACTATAAATTTCCGTAAAAGTAAACAAACAACATTAAGTAAAACTAAATTAAATATTATGAAAATGTGTTAACAACTAAATAAAAAAAATATGCTAATCTGTTTACAATAAGTGCTCAAAGTGTGCACCATTCATTTGTAAACAAATCCGCGCTCTTCTTAAAAGGCTGGATTTTGACTCCATGACAGTGTTGCCAGAAATGCAGAATTTTCTTCAATATGCAGAATTTTAGCCTACATGATGTAGGCTACATCGAGAGCTAATGAAGAAAAGAAGAATATTTTACAAAAACCACTACAATATGAAGAATTTTTTAAATTCACATGTTTTTTTTCATTTTTATTTTTTTTTTAATTTTCTGGAATATTTAATTCTTTAACTGGATTTTAACACTGTAATTTGATTTAAAATTTAAATTTTAAATGTAATTTTATTCATTTCGTATGCATTCTGACATCTCTCGGTAAAATGGTATAAGACTCGAATTGCATCACTGGTGCTACACTGGGGAAGCCCCTATAATTTAAATAGATATTAAGTATTGGTATAAAATAGGTATAAATATTTATTTATAATTTATAAATCATAACTCCATAAAATATATATATAATATACCTAGGTACCTATTAGGTTAATTAATTAACCTAATAGGTACCTGGACAACAATCGGGATTTCCTGGTGAAGTCATGATGATATCACAACGTGATTTTTTTTTTATCACACTGTGATATCCTGAGTAGAGATGTAAAAAACGTTTTTTTTTAGATGTGAAAAAAAACATGAAAAAAACCTAGAAAAAAAAACGGTTTTTTTTATTTTTTTTCAAAATAAAATTTTGAGTAAAATGTAGAATATATTACATTTTTCATTATTCAAAATTTTGACCAAGACTAAAAAAATCTGATTTCGTATTATTTGGTAGTTTCCACATTAAAAACCAATAGTAATGTAAAACTTCTACACTAATACAAAAAATTAAAGGATAAAAAATTGTTTTTGCGATTTTTCGGATAGCTGTATCTTTGTTAAAAATGGTCGTATTGGATTCGTAAAAAAAGCAATTTGAAGCTTGAAGTTTATAGTTTTGAGATTTTTAGATGATAAACGTGCAACGCTCAATTCTAACGAATACCGTAATAAAAAAAATCGATTTTTTTGCTTTCTTTTTTGGTCCACGGAATGTTCTGACCACCAATGAATAAATGTTCTACAAGAATTTGCTATTGTTTTTTTGGAAAAAAAATTTCCATACTCTAAATAAATTTGAAAAATCATGAAAAAAGTGCTTTTGGTAGCTTTTTGAAAAATCAAGCGCTGAATCAAAAATATTATATGTAGTTACTTTTTTTAGGACCAAATCAAAACAAGCGCGGCCCTTATTAATAAGGGCCGCGCTTGTTTTGATTTGGTCCAATTGGTCCATTCGGTGGTGGTGGCCCGTGCATAGCGCGAGACTGTATTTACATTTACTTATTGTGATTTAGTGGCTAATTTTAGTCATGGAAACATAAAAAATTAGGCAAATGGGACTAATCTTGAAAAAAAACCTAAAATGTGAAAAAAACCATTTGAAAAAAAAACAATGAAAAAAACAAAAAAAACGGACCGTTTTTTTTTCAAGTCGCATCTCTAATCCTGAGTGCATACACATGCTTTATCACACTGATATCATGTAGAACTCACGGTGTGATATTTGCGAATATTTTCTTGGATTTAAATTAACTATATAGTTAATTTAAATCCAAGAAAATATTGAATGTTAAACTGTTGATTCAATTGTGAACATACTTTTTCTTTCAATGTACAAATGTTTCGCAAAAATGAATACCTAAACACCGATGGCATAAAAAATCATGTCTAGATTTTTTATGCCATCGGTGTTTGGATATTTATTTTTGCGCCACATTCGTACATTGAGAGAAAAAGTATATATACTACACTATATATACTATACTATGTAGGTATACCTACATATATGGATATTGAATCAACAGTTTTTGTGGTTAAATACATTCAATATTTTTTTGGATTTAAATTAATAGTTAATTTACATCCAAGCAAATATTAAATGTATTTAACCGCAAAACTGTTATATCCAAATATGTCGGTGCACCGATGGCATAAAAAATCATGTCGTGATTTATTATGCCCAAACACCGATAGCATAAAAAATCATGTCGTGATTTTTTATGCCATCGATGTTTGGATATTTATTTTTGCGCCACATTCGCAGAGAAAAAGTATACCCACATATATATTGAATCAACCCAGATAGCAATAGTGCGTCGCACGAAAAACGCATGACGTGCGGTCTCACGCGTGCGCGCTATTACGCATTCAAAATTAAGTAACGCGTGAGTTTTAGGCGCACGCGATGAGACCATTTTCGCATATCGCACACGTGCGTTCGTATACACATTCACAGTAGTCACATGTTTTAAAATTTGTGCGTGGCAGGTGCGATGACATTTATTGTTATTTATAATTAATCCCAGCAAACCAGGCTGTTCCATTTACATAACCATTATATAACTAACAAAGAACATCCCAGGTAGCACAACGTAACGAAATCTTGACGTAAACGAAACGTTTTCAGTCAGTCGTGACTTGGACGTTATTTAAAAATCGTAACGTATTTAATTAAAAACAGTTGCCAAACCGCGCTAAATTTAAGCATAGTTTTTGTGACGAATACGTTACATTAATATGAATAAAAATCTTCACGATGTAGTTAAGAATACGCCACGGATTCTTCACGATGATTTGTCACGGTTTCGTCACGACGCTTCGTTACCGAATAGTGAACTGAACTGGTCACGTAATTGTGGCGTATAGTTGCATTATTTGGGGGTGTAATAATATTGTGCAGTGTAATGCAGTGCAGTACGGTATAGTGGGTTGTTTTGTGTATTGTGGAATTATTGCTTACCTTCAAAGTTTTGTAATTTGATTTCAACCTCATCATCAGGTTGAAATCAAATTACAAAACTTTGAAGGTAAGCAATAATTCCACAATACACAAAACAACCCACTATACCGTACTGCACTGCATTACACTACACAATATTATTACATCCCCAAATAATAACATATTGTTGTTAGGATTGTTTAGTTTTGCAATGTTAATGCAAAGAAAGCACATTTAACTAAATTATATTTTATTAGAAAAACAATAAAAACATATTCTACAATAAACTATAATAATATATATTATATGTATATAAATATAGAAAAACACTAACAAAATAAAAAAATATTCCTCTTATAAAATAAAAATACCTCCACTTTTGAAAACCAGCAATAATTGCAATTAGTTTTCAAATTTCATATCTTTGAAAAAAAAAATTAAATTATTTTTCTATTTTAAGAATAAAACAGTACACAAAAATATAATTCTCCTGTAGAATAAAACACTATTTTATTAGAATATACCTAATATAAAAAACAGTAAGTATAACAAAATAAACAAGTATACTCTATTTCTCTTATAAATTAAAAAATGAAATGAATGAAGTCAATTAATAATTCATCTAGTATAAAATTTTTATTTTATTTCTGCAGTTTAACTGCAACATTTATTTATAATAAACATTTATTTATAATAAACTTACTTAAATAACACTAGGGTTCAGCTGAAGTACAAACCTGTGATCTTATCATATGTATGCTGGAAGGCATACATAATGTGCTTTTCAACGTCATCCTTTGTAATATTTCTTTCCCCCGAGACAACCCAAGACAATTGTGTTTGCCATCAATATGTCTTTTAGAGGCCTATTCCCTTTCTTGCTGTTCGTAAACATCGATTTCTTAACATGTATGTTCACCCAACGACAAGCCAAACATTACCTATGTTTAGGGGTATTCCGTTTCTCATATGTTGAGAGTCTTGACCTTGAATCTTTCTGAACAGCGATAAATGTTTTTAGGACAGGGAGTTTCTTAGTTTTATAACCTAAAAGTCGCAGACTAAACTAAAATTGTGTTAGATAATTGTTTTAAACATCATTGGTGATATTTAATATATTAAATGAACTTAAAAACAATTTGGGAAAATCCAAAATTCTAAAAATACCTACTTGGGAAAAACGTTTTATGCTGAACTAGCCAAAGCACAGATCTTCTGGCGGGTCCATCCTTATATGGAAAAGGGTAATCATAAAATATCTTAAAATAATTATTTGTTACTTATTTTTACACACTTTTAGTGTATTGAAAACAGCAAGAAAACTACGCATTTCTCACATGGAGACTGGCAATGTCGGGGAGCCAGTAAAACAACTTCATTACTCTAAGGATAAATTACTAGCCCTAATAGAGGAAGCGCTGTGAAAGTTAGTGGTGGAGGGTAAGGTGGAGGTAATACCATCGTTGGAACTCTTCATTGACCAGCCTTTAAGTTCGGGTG